TTAAGCAGAGGAAGCCGAGGGTCATTTAGGACATCCCAGAGACCCGGGGGCCAGGTCAGGGGAGGGTGTGGACGTGGAGATGGATCTGGAGTGTGAGCGAGGCCAGGCGTGTGCTGGGCCCTCCTGGCTGGCCACTACCAGGGGCAGGGCACTCGGGGACCGTGCACGGGGCTGCCAGGGGGAGCAGTGAGAGGTGGGGGTAGGAGCCCAGTGCGCATCGCTTCGTGGCCGACCAAGTGTGGGAAGGAAGGAGAGGGAGCGAACGGGACAGCATGGGCAGGGCTCTCCCCTGGGGCGGGTGGAGGACGGCCACAGACAGCAGAGGCCCAGTCCTCCGTTAAACTCCGTATCCCAGGGAGTCAGCCTGGTTGGGAAGGGAGGTTGAAGGCGCAGGGGGGATAGAAGAGCTCAGGTCTAGGAGGCCCAGTCCTCCGTGGGGCAGTGCCCTGGGGGGCCGGTCACAGCAGCCGGGCGCGCTCAGGGCTGATAGCCGTGGAGCTGCGTCCATAAAGCCCCCAGAGCACACTCGCGGCATCCTGTGGAGAACGTGGACAGCTTAGGAGGAGGCCCGAGCCCCGGGTCGAGCTCAACGGGACGCTTGAGCTAGAGCACTTCCTGCTGGGCACACGCTTGCACCCGGGGCCCACGCCGCCCCTCCCACAGGGCTGAGGGTGACAGCAGGGAGCCCCCAAGAGCCCTGTGCATCTCTGTGGGGGCTCCGCGGACGAGCACTACTGTGTGGCCAGGGTGACGGCCGCGGTCCCCCACACGTCCCACCTGGAGGCTGGGAGCAGGGGAGCCCCCACTCACTTTGCATGGCCTGGATTCTCAGCACACACTCTGGTATGTGCCCCACAAGGAGAACAAGCAGTAGGGCCTGGCCCCCCACGCTCTCCTCTGGGCAGGGCTGTGACTGCCCCCGGCCTGGGAGGGGGTGTCAGGCTGGAGCCTGTGGCAGGGCCCGTGAACGAAGCGTCCCAGAGTCGGGCACCCACCCCCCGAGCCGCTGCGCGCGTACCTGCAGTCAGAGAGCCCTGAAGCCAGAGCAGGACGCCCAGCAGCGAGAGCAGGCGGGCGCCCATGGTGAGGCCTGCTGGCCCTCAGGTGCCGGGCAAAGTCCTCGTCTCAGGCCGGGGGCGGGGTGGGGGAAGGTGCAGGCACTTCTGCCGGAAGCTGCGGGCCGCCCACTGGCCACAGGGGAGGAGCGGGGGGGGTGGCCCGGCCTGGCTGGCCTGGGGGGGGTGGGGTGAGTGAGCGGTGGCCTGGCCCCATGCGAGCTGCACCCCGATGGCACAGGTGCTGCGCCCCACTGCCCTGCCTGGTGGACTGGCCCGGGCAAGCTGAGTGTGCCATGTGGGGGAGCTGCCACATGCAGCTGGCAGTGTCAGGACCACATGCACTCACCACGCACACTCCATATATGTTCGTGTGTGTGCACATGACACATGCACACTACATGCCATGGCCACCCACACGTCACTCCCACTTACGTCAAACGCATGCACATCACACTCACACTACGCACACGCCACCCACCCACACCAGCCACCTCTACACACTCACACACACGTCCATCACAGACCCATGCACTCACGTGTGTCCAAGCATGAACACTCGTCACTCCCACACTCACACCTGTACGCACACGCATGCATGCCCATCCAGACCCACACACCATGGTCACATGCTTCCACACACAGGTACACAGGTACAGGCTCCCTCCACCCTGCACGCCATCAGACTCTCAGGGAGGTGCCTGGAATGTCTCCACCAACATGCGGGCGTTCTGACACGTGTGAGTGTGTGGAGGCTGTGTGAGGCTGGAGGCCGTGGCCTGGTGACCCTCTTGGGGCTTTGTGAGGCCCACGGTGTGCGCGCTCCTTTCGTCCAGTCTGTCTTGTCTCTTGTAAGAAGTGTGCCCTTCCCTGAGGCAGTGGGGTTGCTGACTCCGTCCCTCCTCTGCTGTTCCAGGGTGTGTGCTTGCTGAGAGTGGAGAGCGCACGTGAGAGGGCGGGCGGGAGGCTCCCTGGGGGTGGTCGCGCCAAAACCTCTTCTCCATCGTCTCAGGGTTTGGGGCACATGCGAGCGCACCTGGAGTGTTTTTAAGCCGCTGAGTCCAGGACTCAGACGAGCAGTCAGCCACGTGGGCTGCAGCGCCTGCTCCACTGCCACAGGCCGGCCCTGTCTCTCACTTGTTTCCGTTTCGGGAGGGATCGGGTGTACCTCCGCTGCACGTGGAAAGCCAGCCCTCCCAGCCACGTGCCGCTGCCCGGCTGGTGGACCTCCAGCCCCTCACATGTGCACCCCCATGTGTGCACAGCCCCTTGCACTGAACACACCCCACGTGTGCACGCCCCCTCGCACTGAACCCCCCCGTGTGCACAGCCCCTCGCACTGAACCCCCCCGTGTGCACAGCCCCTCGCACTGAACCCCCCCGTGTGCACAGCCCCTCGCACTGAACCCCCCCGTGTGCACAGCCCCTCGCACTGAACCCCCCCGTGTGCACAGCCCCTCGCACTGAACCCCCCCGTGTGCACAGCCCCTCGCACTGAACCCCCCCGTGTGCACAGCCCCTCGCACTGAACCCCCCCGTGTGCACAGCCCCTCGCACTGAACCCCCCCGTGTGCACAGCCCCTCGCACTGAACCCCCCCGTGTGCACAGCCCCTCGCACTGAACCCCCCCGTGTGCACAGCCCCTCGCACTGAACCCCCCCGTGTGCACAGCCCCTCGCACTGAACCCCCCCGTGTGCACAGCCCCTCGCACTGAACCCCCCCGTGTGCACAGCCCCTCGCACTGAACCCCCCCGTGTGCACAGCCCCTCGCACTGAACCCCCCCGTGTGCACAGCCCCTCGCACTGAACCCCCCCGTGTGCACAGCCCCTCGCACTGAACCCCCCCGTGTGCACAGCCCCTCGCACTGAACCCCCCCGTGTGCACAGCCCCTCGCACTGAACCCCCCCGTGTGCACAGCCCCTCGCACTGAACCCCCCCGTGTGCACAGCCCCTCGCACTGAACCCCCCCGTGTGCACAGCCCCTCGCACTGAACCCCCCCGTGTGCACAGCCCCTCGCACTGAACACCCCCGTGCGCACACCCCCTCACACTGAACACCTCCGTGTGCACACCCCCTCGCACTGAACACCCCCCACGTGCGCACACACCCTCGCACTGAACACACCCCACGTGAGCACCCCCCCTCGCACACAACA